CAAGCTTTGCAGCAGCAGCTGCTGCCCCGCTCCGTCTTCCTCCCAGACTGTTCGCGAACGGGAGTTAGGGTTGCGCCCGAGTTCAATTGTTGTGCTGTGACAGCTCGGCGAGAGTTGGCGCAACCCCCTTTTTGCGCAACACCATTGAGGTTTGACAGCTCCCCAATGCAATTGTCATTTTGGTACAGTATTCCCAAGAGATTGGTGAGAACTGGGCAAACGCTCCCGGTTGGGTTTAGCTTCACCTTAAACCCGGGATTTTCGTCTTAGCCGTGGATGTCGACAGACGCCAGTCATCTTCATCATAATCATTGCCAAATCCACCTAGCCAATAGCAATGATCGCTTATTAAACAACGGTAATTGCTACCTGTGGGAGGTGTCAGATCGCTGGATGGTGCAATTACCTCGCCCACCACGTCGAAATGGCGCACACGTCAAATTACGGTAGTTGGTGCATGCCAGAAGGTGACAGACAACCTTCTGTCACCTGATCTCGAGATGATCTATGGGGCAGCGGACGTGAGATTTTCCTAATCAGCGCTATCAAGGCTCTATGAAAATGGCTTTAAAAATCGACAATCAGAAAACATCATGTCGAAACCATCATTTACTCACCGCGGTGCCTCATAGGTGGTGTCGTCAATGTGAGTCTTGTCTTTTTACCTGAACTTCTTAGATAAGTCCCCTCTAAACCTTTCCAGGGTTATCGCCTTGAAATAGCCGTATATCTTGTGGTGATCTGAAATTCGAGCACATTGTCCGAGGGATTTTATAGGAGCGAGTAATGTCTCTATTAAGGCGTTGATGGCGCTTTTCACACCCCAAGGTGGTTTTCGCGATGTTCCGACGGCGACGACGACGACGAGTGAGGAACAGTCCTTTCTCGCTGTCTCTCTCTGCCTTCGCCATAATTCTCATTGTTGTCATAAACGCAAAGGGCTGAGACAGCTGCCGTCGTCGAACAGGTGTCAAGAAGGAGGCGCAGGAATCATCGTGGCCTAAATTGGATTCGCCTCGACGCTCACTCTCTCCTCACACACTGATCAACTTACACAGACAACCTTCTTCTCCATCCTCGGTTTTCTTACTGATCTTTAGTTTTTTTTTCGAGCGGCGAAGAAATCGCGATTGCGAAATAGCCGGCCGGTTTGGCTACGTAATCGTCGAGAGTCGCTTCTATTGCCCAGAAATAGAAATCGCATATCAGATCTGGGCGTTCGGGCGATTTCTCATACCGGATGGACGGCAGTCGCGATGAGGATATCAGTCAGGAGACATGTGCCTCAATCTGTCGTGTCGATGCTTATCGTGCTGCACGGTTAATTGCGTGCGCCAGCGTCAACGGTGGAAGATCGTCGACGATGATAGCGCCGAATGTTGTCCGAAGGTGGAAAAGCTGCCTGTGCGTGCGAATGTCGTTGAGGAAAAGTTCATCAGATGTTGGCCATCTTTCTCATTCGCTTGGCCGCTCTCAACACCACCAACCGATTCAAGCAGCTCATTGATTTCTCACACCGATCGCTTTCTCCCATTTCCTCAGTTATTTGGGCTTCGTCCCTGTTGTGCTTACGAGTGCTATGAATTCATTTTGTCCCTAATGCTGCTGAATGCGCACGTTTTTCTGCGTTTCCGCGATGCACCTGGTCGAAACCAGCGATGGTATTTGAAATGCCGGCGAAATCACCACCTGCTTGCTTGCTGCCAGTTGCAATCGTCGCAGCTCGCACAATGTGAAAACCACCAACCTGCGGTGGTGGCATCTTCAGGTTAGGCTTACTGCCGCTAGGCCTTAGTGCTAATGTATCATCTTTCATGCACTTGAAGCGCTTCCCAAGGGTGAGCAGGAGGAGGTTCCATGACGCTGGCGGAGTTCCCCCGGCCCATTCTGCCATACCCGCACCCCCGCACCTGCTTTTGATTTCACCACCAGCAACTCTTTGTGCGTTGCGCACAGTTCGCCGGCCGTCGTCGTTTAGCAGCGTGTGAAATTTGCCGCCAGAACAGATACGCGTCGATTTCGCTCACTAGGACCTCTTCTTGGCCCTCGTCCAACCCCGGCCTATCACCCTCTCCTATCCATCATTTCAATCCGTCAGCTTATCTGATCTTATCGAGCACGTAATCGGGTTCCAATTAGAAACTCCCTTACTGAGCTCTTGCTAGGCAGCTCTTGCTCAGCTTCTCGTTCGACTTATTTCGGGCCCACCCACAGTGAGCCTCGAGGAGGAGGGTCTCGTCAGGCGCATAATTTGATCTACCTGGCGGCATCGCCTCATTAGCGTCTGCTGTGTTCAGTCTGCTCCATCCACCTCACGCTCGTACACTCCTCCCAGCTCATCCAATTACTTAACGTGGATAATGCCGCGATGTGGCTCCGCCCACGACCCCACTGGATATCACCTTCTGAGCGCGACCAGCAGTGCACGGTCAACTCGGTTCAGCCTGGCCCTCTGCCATCTTCTGCCCCCTCAAGTGCACTAAGGTACGGTATTGGGGTGATGGTGTGGGCACGTACAGTTTTGTTGTCATCATCGATTTCATCGAGGCACAATGAGTCGACCCTTTTGATCCGTGCTCTGTGCTTATGGCCCCGCCAGCATTTCGTGCCCGTGTCAGAGCTCTAGGGCTTTCGATCATTTTCCCTGCTTTCCATCTCTCATTCTTCGACTTCGACTCGCGACGACCACACCTGTTGTGTGTCACTTCTTCACATTGCTCATATTTATTTGATTACGCCCCTCCTTACTTTAAGATATATTATTGTGTACGTGTTATATTGAATGTGTACGACTATGAGAAATGGCCGGTCCAGGACTGCCCGGTCAGCTCAATAATTCAACGTCCTCCGTTATCTTTGCCTAATTGTTCGTCATCCTCGTCCGGGTTCCTCTGTGACGGCGGGCGGCAGCTTTCCGATTCTCCCCCTACCCTTGTCTGGTCGGTATTCCCTATCTAGCCGATGGTTCTTATACGTTTTCTATCTCGGTATGCAATCGTGATTTCAAGAGAGGGATGAGGGGAATCGGGAGATCCTATTTCGGTGCAGGTTCTCGGTTATTAGAATGGTGTAGTGCGCCAAACATGTCCGATCTCACGTTATGTTTATGAATTCGCTTCTTTTGACAGTTTTGGCGAGTCGCGCGTGCGCGCGCTCTGCGACGAACGACGACGACGACGTTGACGACGACGGCGTAATAGCGAGAGTCTTTACGAGACTCGGTGTGAGCGAACTGAACTCGTCGTGATCTGTTCTGAAGACCTCGTCAGCGCGAAGATTGTCGTCGTAGCCCCAACCCATCAGTATTCCCCTCTCTTTTCCCCGTCGTTGATGTGTCTCGGGACTGTTGCAATCAGGTCGCGCGCATCGCGCAAAGATGTTAACAAACTTGACTCTCTAAACACGGATAGGTGCAACTGGTATCTTTTAGCGGCTGCGACTGCGTCGTCCCCGACACTAGATACCGGTCACCCATTACATATCCCGCTTACTTTAGGTGTTTAGCTGAACCCCAGCGCTGCATATCCTGGTGTTGAAACCCTTTAGGAAACAAGGTCTACTTCCCAAGCGCGACTCCTTTCTCTTCACCGAAATCGCCAGCCTGAGAAGAGGTGAGTAACGCCTGCACCCCCATAGTAGACATGGTTTCCATTCTGAGAAGAGCCCCAGCTGGACCCGCTCCCTTTCCCATCCCATATTTAAGGGCAAAGTATGCGGTATTCGTTTTGCCTCCATCTGGCCTTTAGCTTGTTCCTGAGATGCGCGTCGCTGATGTGCTACATCGTCGCTGTTCTCTTGTAGATTGCGACCGTGACATTGAATTTCCCGTTCCCAGCTCACGGATGCGCCCCCGTATCCCCACACACACCATCCCCCGCCCGCGGCGGAATCTTCCCTCTTGTTATGTGTGCGTGTGTCTGTAACAATTTGTTAGTCTTATCGAGAACATTGCACTAGTGTGGCGGCTGACTGCAGAGCCTCGTGCCCTCTATATGACCCCCCGAAGATGGCCAGTACCCAACAACTAGCTCGCTTCTTCACCTTGCCTTCTTCTGCTCTTCTCCTCTGGCTGCTCACTGCGCCTTCATTCCATCGTCGCAATCCCTGCGAGTCCAATTAGACGTGCACATCACAAACAGCCCTGGCCACGGATAATAAGAAACCTGAGAGGCCGATTTCCTGTCGCCGTGTCGTTCCCCCGGCTCATTTCACCATATTTTACTCTCTCTATCGATGGTCCTTGCGTTGCGAAATCTAGCACTATTTCCGCTCTGTGGTAGGCACGTGCCCAAGACTGACCAGGTCACTTGCAGGTCAGCCCTTCCTTGAACTCTCTGTTTGGTCCATTCTGCTCTTCATGGCTTTTCCTTTGACGGGTCGACTAGCGGCGTCCCGCTTCAATCACGTCGGGCCGCGAGTTTTCTACCTTTGTTGTTTTGGCTTCGGCCAGCGCTAGTCTCTCCTCCACTCCTTGTTTTAATTGCTCCCTACGGCAAAGTGCTACGGTAGTGGTGGGGGCGTGGCCAGGTGAGTGGCATTGATCCCTCACCTCGTCGTCGTCGTTTCGCCTCGCTCTCTCAGCCTCCTCTCCTACTCGTCATCCTCATCACCTTGAGCGACGGACGCGAGCAGAAGCTTCTGCATCTTGGACGTCGCCTTAGTTGAAGTCCTTGTTTGCCTCTCGCCGAATTCAGAGACCTCTCAAACGAGCCTCTCAAGGGCCATTTAACATATTACTTTGATTATAACTAACCTCATACGGTAACACAAGCACTCTTTTCGGCAATTGTCCATGTGTGTGTCGAGCGTTTGTTTTGGCAACTTGCCAGGTTCCCCTTTGAAGGCCTCTTCTCATAATTAGCGACCGCTCTTTAGCCATGTGAAATTTGTTCTGATTTATCTGCTGAGCAACGTCGCGTGCTTGCCATTGGCTCGGATAATGAGTGTAATGAATTTTCGTCTTTCATTTTTTGCAGACGCTGGAGGTGTTACTCGGTCTAATGGACGTAGCGAATGAGCCGCCGGCGACGACGGAATCGCCACTTCGCCGAGTCGTCAGCAGCGATCCGTCCGCTGCCGCTGCCGCCGCTGCCGACGATGTGCTGCGCAAGTTCAAATGTCCTGAATGTGGTAAAGCGTTCAAATTCAAACATCATCTCAAGGAGCATATTCGAATTCATTCCGGCGAGAAACCGTTCGAGGTGAGTTCTGAGTGATGTTCTGCGCTGTTGCACCGCGCCGATGGCGGCTTTACCCTCCCCAAACCCAACGTAGCGCAGCCAAGTTGTCGTCTTCGTCGGCTGCGGTTTGTGTTCGACAAGAGAGTCGATTAGTATTGGACAGCACACCTGTCTCCGAGTGCTTGTCATCATTTATCACACGGCTGCTCCCCTCATACCTGGCCGCGAACCCGCATTCGCTATCTGATCCGGTGTAAAGCGTGTCGCTACGCACTACTTACATATGTTTAGCTGTTTGGCTAACAAGCATCGCATACCGGCCATTAATAGTTCGTTAAATTTCGACAAAAAACCCTTTTGGTAATCGGGGGATCGACAAGAAGGGGGTGGGCGCCTTGCCAGGCTGTCAGACTACCTCAACTTGAGGGGGATGATCGAGTTAAGTAGAGTGAAGGTAGGCTTCTTTGAATCGATTCTTCGCGACATAGATAAGTGAATAAGCTCCACCTGGCGGCGACCAAATGAAGGCCGAAAATCCTCGGCGTGGACTTTGAAGGTTCACCTTGAATTTCCGAGGGATCAGTAGTGCAAAATGATTTTTTATGGGATTATTGTGTGGGAGTTTCAGTCCCTCGACGTTCAGTCGTTAAGACAATCGGCTCTCTGTATAATTTGATGTCCTTTAGGGATGAATCTGGCCATTAGAGGACATCTCCATGGGCAGCCACCCCCGAGCAGTACCTGCTTCTGGTTAGGGAATACCTGCCCATTGCTGTACTGAAGAGCTCAAGCTAGTTCCCATTCCTTTCCTAGGAGTTCTTGGTTTCTCTTGCGCAACTCTTGCGTTTTCGATCAAATTTCGCCAGCTGTAGGCGCATAGTCGCAGCTCAGAACGGGTCTAGTATTCGATGACGTCACTATACCAAAATGTAGGGGAAGAACAAGTAGTCCTTTCTCTCCTCTCCGCCTATGGAGACAATTTCCTACAGTTAAGGGGCGGATGGGATCTCTAGCTCCCAAGAAACGTTCCCAGACGTCTTGTCGTGCAGGACCAGAGCCTGATGAATCTGCCCACCCGCTTTTCCAGAGAATCGACGAGCGATCTGATCAGCACACATTACAGTCGGGGGTGGTGATGATGGTTGCATAATGCTGCTTAAAAGCATCATACCGTTGTTAGTTTATCGCTGAGAAACGCACAGATGAATGTTCTCCTGCGATTCATTTACAGCGTAGGTGTCGTCCTTGTACCCCCGTCCGTACCATAATGAAGCCACGCCCATCGGTGTCATTGCCGGTCTCGAGAACAGTTCTCGGGACGGCATGGCGTACTGTACTTCGCCTTGCCGATCCTGCGCCAACCTCTCGAACTTCCCTTTCGTTCGCCACTGTCAAGAACCGGCTTACCTAATTATTACCGTACGCGCAAGGTGTGTGGCGGCTGCCGCCGCTGGGGTTACCGTAGTGCGCGAGGTGGGGATCGAGTTGATTATTGGTTGTCGTCCAGGTAACACGATGACGGGCTCCATTCAGGTGAGCTGAAGCAGCTGATATTGACAGCCGCCGCGTCGCGTCTGGCTGCTGCTGCTGCGTCGCGGGCGGATTATGAATTCACGGCGCGCGAACCTGGCGCTTCCATGAATTAATGAAATGCCTCAGGGGACCT